CCCACCCCCCTCCTCTCACTACCGGAATTGAAAGGGAGCCGATCCACCCAACTTCTACAAAGCTTTGTTCTCACTCTTGGGTGTTTCTTGACAGACGCCCATAAACAGAGTGTCAAAAGCAAAAAGGTTGAAGAAATTGGTTCCGAAATGGGGTTTTTAATTTGAAATTTATTCATAAATTAATGGAAAAAATTCTTGAAGAAGATGACCCTTCATCCACCATGGAAGGCAGTTACTTGAAGACAATCCCATTTCACCAAATCTATCCTTAAAACGAATCTCTAATTTTCCTCCATTTTCAATGTCTCTCTGTGTTTCTCACCATTATATCACCACCGCTTCCTCCACCGTCTCTCTCTCTCAAAACCCTCCATTTCTCATGCATCCCCTTCGCCGGAAAGTCTCCCTCTTCTCCTCCTACACCACCGCCATGAAACACCGCAAGAACAATAACGTGTCTGTGTTTGTAGTCGTCTTCTCTGTTTTTCTTTTTGGGTTCTTTATGTACAATGAAGATGTCAAATCCATTGCGGAATTCCCATTCTCCAGGCCAAAGGTGGTTCAGCAAGTCGGAATCCATGAAAACCCTCTTCAGAAACCAGTCGATGAGGTGGTTGAGATCAATTCCAGGACGACTTTAGTGGTGGAATCGAAAACCGAAGGTGACCAGTTGATTGAATTGCCGGTTCCGGTGGCGGCTGCGGTGGTGGAGGATCTTGAAGACGAAGAAGAGATCGAATTGCCGCCTGAAGAATGCAATCTGTACGATGGGAATTGGGTTTATGACGATTCAACACATCCTTTATATAAAGAAGATGAATGTGAGTTTCTTACAGCTCAGGTGACATGTATGAGAAATGGAAGAAAAGATTCAATGTATCAGAATTGGAGATGGCAACCCAAAGATTGCAACTTACCCACGTAAGATCTTCCATAACCCATATCAAACAATCCATCTTTTTGCAGGATTGATCTTGAAATCCATCGTTTTCTTGAAGTTTTAGGGCAAAGTTACTGCTGGAAAAGCTGAGGAACAAGAGACTTATGTTTGTAGGGGATTCATTGAACAGAAATCAATGGGAATCAATGGTGTGTATGGCTCAATCCATTATTCCTCCAGGCAGAAAGAGCTTGAACAAAACTGGCTCTCTCTCGATTTTCAGAATCGAGGTTTCTCTCTCTCTTCGATCTTCGTTCAGCATACGTTAATATCTGTAACGAGATATTTTATCACGTTATTTATCATGAATACGAGGTGACAGTTGATCTAATTGACGTTTTTTACGTTAAAATTTGCAGGATTATAATGCGACGGTGGAATTTTATTGGGCGCCATTTTTGGTGGAATCGAATTCCGATGATCCAACGATGCATAGCATATTGAACAGAATTATAATGCCTGGATCCATAAAAAAGCATGGTAAACACTGGAAAGATGTTGATTATTTGGTCTTCAACACTTACATTTGGTGGATGAACACTTTCACCATGAAAATCCTGTGAGTTCTTTTTATTTTAAAATTAAAATTGTTTGTTTTTTTTAATCATAATTTCGTTATCGAGACATTAAATAAAATCAATAATGCAGGCGTGGATCGTTTGATAAAGGAGCAACCGAGTATGATGAGGTTGACAGGCCCGTGGCGTACGCAAGAGTGTTGAGGACGTGGGCAAAATGGGTCGATAAAAATATCAACCCAAATCGCACCACGCTCTTTTTCAGCAGCATGTCTCCTTTGCATATCAAGTAATTTATCTTTTCTTTTTATTCGAAAAGTAATAATACTGAAAAAGTAGTCTTGTGAGATTAGCTCAACTGTCAATAAGGTACGGGTCTTTGGGGATCCTTCTTAGAGGTCACCAGTTCGAGTCTGGAGATTTTTTTATCTGTTCTCCATTCCCCTCGAATCAGTCGAGAAGCGAGAAAGCTGATTCGGACACACATAGTTAAATAAAAATACTAAAAAATAAATGGGTTTTAAAAAATCCCGTTGTTACATAATATATGTATTAGGTAAAATTGTACGTTTCAACCAACCAAAAGGATGTTAGCTGGAAGTAGAGATGACTTATGGCTATGATTAGTTATTTTTTAAATATATTTATATACATTAAAATACATATTTTAACTGATAATTTTCGATTTAATTTATTAATGGTTTATAATTCTATTGGTATCGATGGATTTTTTTTTATAGGAGCTTGGATTGGAACAATCCCGATGGCATCAAATGTGCCAAGGAGACTAAGCCAATCCTCAACACGTCCATGCCATTAGAAGTGGGCACTGATCGACGGCTCTTTTATGCTGCAACCGACGTGATTCGCTCAATGAAGCTTCCGGTTCACTTCCTGAACATAACTTCACTTTCAGAATATCGGAAAGATGCACATACATCAGTGTACACCATTCGTCAAGGCAAGATGTTAACTGACGAGCAGAAGGCGGATCCAAACACTTATGCAGACTGTATACATTGGTGTCTTCCTGGATTGCCTGACACATGGAACGAGTTCCTCTATACACGTATCATATCTCATTCTTAACTGGTGCGAGTCAACTCATTCTTAACCGGTGCGAGTCAACTCAGATCAACTTGGTTTATCTACCTTGTTGTAGGAACTAAAAATCGTTATTTTCTTTTGCATACTTGTATTTAGGGAGAGAACAAATTTACGTTTTCGTATTTTGTTTTTCGTTCTGAAAATTTTGTTTTAGACATTTGATAAAAACGCAAAATTGTTTCCAAATGTACAATGAAACGTTCAAAGGCAAATAAATGATTACAAAAATTGTAAGTAGGAATGGACCGATCCAAAATAAAATCCTGTTCCATTTCTTGGGGACAATGACAAGTGTAATGTTACGGCAAACAAGTGGAAAGGTTTAGCTGTCTTTTTTTTATATATATAAACATCTCTAATAGATTCTTTAAAATGAAGAATTTAAAGTCAATTTTTAAAAAAATTACTTTGAATTCCAACTGATTCTTCATTTTGAAAAATCTAACATTTATCATATTATCAAAATATTCAATACATTTAATACGTCCAACATACTTTGCAATCATTTTTTCTACTCATTTTGATAGCACGTCAAATCTAAGCCAAACAGGAGACTGAAAAAAAAAGCTGGATTAATATCTGGTATGATTTTGTGGATGAAAGTGTTCACATAAACGAAATAGAATTCGAAAGTGAATAGATGGATGGAAGTCCTGAGTAATACCTGTTGGATCAAATAAGGGCCCAATTTTTTTTAGTATATATAGTAGGAGTTTAAAAGAATTTTTTTTTTATTAACATGGATATCCAACTCGCTATGCGAGCCAACTAATCCCAGGACGACCACCTGCTTTGCAGATAGCCCGGAGTCACCGCATTTGAACCTACGTGGCCACAAGGGGATTTTTATTCCTCCTTGAATTTGAACCTGGAACCTCCTGGTACTTTGTACCTTTGGAGCCAAGCTCAAAACAATCAGACACCACCATTGTAGTTAGTAGTTTAAAAGAATTAGTAAGTAAAAAAGACACAAGTTTTTTAAAATCTAATAGGACTTAAAAAAATTTAGTATTATATTAATGAACCATCCATGTATTAGGGGCCGTTTACTAAGCACTTACTTGGTAAATGCTTACCGGATAAATTTCTTCATTGGATGAACATGAAAAGGACCACGAATCTTACCGGTAAAAGCGACGAGAAGGATGAAGAGTCTTACCTGGTAAGTGAGGATGACGACTCTTACCCAGGTAAGCGCTTACCCAATAAATTGTTGCATTCGATATGTTTTAATATACTAAGATCTTACGCATCAAAATAAATCATAGTGTTGACTCCTATCGGTAAATGCTTACCGGGTAAGCAATTGGGTAAACGGCCCCTTAGTTAATGATACTAGAGAAGGAAATACGTAAAAAGCTAATTGGTTGTTATAATATTATAGTATTGTTTATTGTTTCTCTATTTTGTTGGCTAATTGTTGTCTGATAGAACTGCCCCTGATAGACATCATCGATTCCCGAAATGCCTTTCTAGATATTCCTCAATGTCCCGGTTATTCACGGAACGTGAAAAGCAGATTATTAATTATTTGCTATCTAATATCAAAGTCTAAAACTACTTGCTTAAAAAACCTTGATATATTATGTATCATTCATTTGCCACTGATTCTTTTAATTATTTCATCTGTATGAATTCTAATTTTGTATTAGAATATAATAGATTTAGGGGCCGTCTACCAAATGCTTACTCGGGTAAGTGCTTACCAAGTCATGCTCCCTTATTGGATAGATATGACAGACAAGAATCTTACATGGTAAGAGCGAAAGCAAGGACTGAGAGTCTTACACGATAAGTGATGGTGACGACTCTTACCATGGTTAGCGCTTACCAGGTAAATTGTTACATACAATGTCGTTTTGGTAGACTAAAATCTTACCCGGTAAATAAGCGATAGAGTTGAATTTTACCATTAAACGCTTATCGGATAAGTGTTTAGGTAAACAGCCCCTTATTGTTATTAACCAAGAAAACTTCTACTTTTTGAAAAAGAATATCAACCATATGAGATGGCCTAACTTATATCAACATTTATGATTTCAAAATTACCCTTGTTACCATTATTAGAGAAATCTCGAAAAACTCAGGGAAAACAATGATAAAACTGAAAACTTGGATAAAACCCTGAGATCACGTAAGAGCTCATTGTCCTTACGTTATATTTCGACCTTAATTTGTCAAGGTATCACAAAATCAACTCGAGAATAATCTCATATTTCAGTAACGATCTGGTATTCTTTAAAACTCAGAAAATCGTAATCGTTTCTATATTAATGTCGAGAATATCTTCTCACACTATTTCAAAAGCACCAACCACCATATGGTGTATACATTAAATGAGATAGGTTCATCTCACCACATCATTTGGTGTGTTCGTGTAACACTCCAAAGTTGGACCTCTTTTTAATGGTTAGTCCAAGTGAGGAACTACAGATTTTATGGCCTTAAAAGCTTGAGTCCAAGGACTAGCTAATTAGTCATTAAATGGATAATTTGACTTTATGCAAAATGGCTAATTAAATTTGAATTAAACATGGGATTGATTATCCTGTGACTTGAGGAAAAACTTAGTGGGACTAGTAGGAATCAGTTATGGTTCGATGGTCCGTGACATGTTACAAGTTTTATGGAATTTTAAGATCCGATCTGCCTTGGGATCAGTTATATATAGAAATATAGGGTCAATTTTTAAAAAAAATTGAGTTTATATATGTTTTAGTACAAAATATTTTACAAGATTTTCTAAGGTTTTTTTTTTTCAAATTTTTCAAAAAATCAAAAATTTTAAGATTTTATCTACTTAAATATTTTATTTAAAATCTATTTCAAAATTAATTTTAACAAGAAAGTTATAAATTTTATCTTAAAATTCATCAACAATCTCAGAAAATAAATAAATGCTTTTTTCCCTTCATTTTCTTACCCTTTAAATAATGTTTGATAAATTAAATGCAAATTTCCTCTACTTATAAAATTAAATCACAAAATTTAGCATTAATTTTTCGATTTCTTAATCAGTTTATAAAATAATCAAATTAAAATAAATACCATGAAAATTCCAAATAAGATTATAGTTTTAAATGAAAATAAAAAGAAATAATTAAAAACATAAAATATAAATAATACGTTCTCATTCTATCGAATATGTTATTCAATTTCAATTCGTATGTGAAACTCAACGTTCCTTCACATGCCACAAAACATGGACGAATTCTTAACAATTAAATTTAAATATTTAAAAAATATTAATTATTTTTCACGCATCGCACTTTAAAATAAATAGAAATACAACTACCGATTTATTTCCCTTTGTGCCCTTTTTTCATAATTAAAAATATTAGTTAATTTAATTAGTTGGGTGAGAATATTATTGAAACTGGAAGCTTGAATAATACGCACTTCATTTGTTTGTTTAAATGAAGGTGAGATATTTTCAAAATACTAGTAAATTTTATTTGTCTTATTTTTGTTTGTTATTATTTTAATTATGGTTATAGTCCTTATATTTGTTTTTGGTAAATTTTGAATTAGTTTATGTAACACTAATGACTATATTTAAAAATAACTTTAAGATATCTCGACCAAAACGGCTATTTCAGTAAGTTCCCCAAATCATAAGCTCAATGTTTTCTTTATGGAAAGCTGATGGATATTGGATTTTAGCTATGCTAACAGAGTTCCAATGTTACATTTAACACTGATACAACAATTGTTTAGAGATGAACATAATTTAGTCATCCCATAAATATATATGGGGAAAGCCAGGCTTAGTAGCAATGAGCCACCCATAACCACACCCACTGGGCATGGCATGAACCAGCGCTTAGTTATACAAACAACAAAGCTGGCAACCAAAACCCAATCAAGTTGAGACATGATCCTGACACTGGTGGCAACCTCTCCAACCATCCTTGGTTCATAGCAAGCCTTCAAGTTCACAATAGTCCACTGTGCGGTTAAACACCATCCACTTGATATATAGCCAGGAAGAGTACACTGAACCACCTGGTGCACCATACTAGCCTTCTCAAAACAAAGTTATACCAGATAAGTTCATCTACTAGACTCGGAAGAAGAGCGCAAAAAATGATCGATTTCATTAATTGCATTGATGTGGGTACCAGGAAACAACAGCCGTAATAGGGGGATTGAAGAGGGTAGGTTCAAGGAACTTATTTTCTGTATACCAGCTTGAACTAGTGAGGGTGCTGGTACACCATACCACTGGAGATACCAGGAGAGAAGTGTACAGGAGTTATCATCCTCTGACCATTTCCCTGATTTAACGTAATCATGGATGTGGGTCTTCAACGATGGAGAAAACACTAGAAGCTCTTCTACCCGTCTGTTGAGAGAACCTAGAAATGTAGATTGAACAATCCCACCTCTTGAACTCGTCAGTTTTCCCTTCAAAAGAGCATCATTGTAGGCTAGTGCAAGCTGCATACAGGAAGAAAAAAAGACATCAATTGTCACCAAATACATGTACAGACTAAAAATTGCTGAAGATACTTGGTTCAGATACTTGAAGATGAAGAACTAAATAACAACTCACAGCCATTTTTTGCTGACCTGGGTGCATTGATGAAGTATCACGTGAGAATAGGAGTTAAGGTGAGAAGCATAAGAAGGGATCTGGACCCATGATCACTTTAATCTAAACCCCACCCCATGAATTGCGCTTCTCATGGGAGTTGATCCGGTGCATCTCATTAGTGTTGATCTTCAATTAGGACTGATCGAAGGGTGGAGATCCCTTCTCATCACAACTTCCATTCTCACCAGATCAACCCCGGGTGCATTTAGCCCAGCTTGCTGCTATGGACTAGAGGCATACAAAGAAAATGAAGGAAAGGTGTGTTTTATTGTGTGTTTTGTCATACCTTAATCGTTTTTATGTGTGTCTGCTTGCCTTACACTTTATTTGTTTTAGTTATATTGGGTTAGTTCGGTTCGATTTGGTTCGGTTACTGAGCTTTTTCAGGCAGCATACAAGTGACTTCGTTAGCTCTCACATCCAAGTAAGGTTACAAAGAAAGGCTTCAGTTATCTACTAGGTCCATTAAAGCATAAAAGTTATACAAAAGCAAAAGATGGCTAAATTAATGGCCAAGGGCAATAACTATTACCTTCAAACTGGGGAGAAATTGAGAATCGTATGGGACCGGTATACCACTGACAACTTGATCTGCCATAGATGCAACAGTAGTGTACAATGACAAGTAGACCTGCATATGTACAGCATGTTGGTTTATCACTGAACATGCAAAACCCCTAAGGATTTGGTATTATATCAAAACATAAAAATGATACACAAATTGCAGTAAAAGCTACATATCTCTCCCTTCTACTAACAGCTTGGAAGTCAGAAAAAAAAAACAATATGATATATACAAGTGAAGGGAAACCATATACCTGTAAAAGTGCTGGCCTGTCCTTGCTCACACACTCGAATAGCACTTGCAAGCAGAACTCTTGGAAATCAGTATCGGATCTGCAAGAATGTATGCTAATAATCACTTGCCACCGAAAAGCTTATTCTGAATAAAAGAACCTAATTTCATCTGCAGAATTGCTTCTTCTAAGTACATAATATAAACTCAGCAAAGCTTTGATTGGAACTTGGGAACTAAAATCACAAAAAGTACCCTAGATGAATATACAGTTTCTGAAATAACTAATAGATTATAGCTCATCATCCATCAAGATAAATTCTGACATCCTCTAAATGGTAGATTGAATTTTTTAAGATGAGCGTATTGCTTGTTTGACACCATTAATTGTATCATATTTATGCTCAAGAAATTGTGTAGTTTATGCATGGTTCAAAGCCAAAAAATGACCCGCTTTATGAGGTCAACATATGATTATATAGCTAGTACACTTGGGGGGCGTTTACCAAACGCTTATCCGGGTAAGCACTTATCAAGTCACATTACCTTACCAAATCAATATGGCAAGGACCAAGAATCTTACCCGGTAGGAGCAATATATGCTTATCTTGTATGTATCTACCTATCATTATGTTATCTTAGCAATATATGCTTATCTTGTATGTATCTACCTCATCCCTTATGCTAGTAGAGGCATAGGCATTGATGCAAGAAAAATCCAACTCCAATCACATGATATGTGGCTAATTCTTACTCTTTTTACATGGTACCAATTAAGAATTTGGCACTTAGATAAGAATATCAAACAATGCTTGGAAAGAAAACTGCATACATACTTGATGTTCCATGATTGATCAGAGCATAGAGCACCGAAAGCAATCAAGCTTGGATCTGATGAGAAGGTACTGACCAACTGATTAACAGTTACTGCAGCATCACCATCATTATTGCTAGGAGTACAGGCTCTCAAGCTTGCCAAACCAAACACCTATAGTGTGTGAATTCAGTTTTACCCAATATTGTGAAAGAGACGGCATGTTTGAATTAATATTAAAATCATAAAGCTCAGACCTTGTGCATTGCCCTTGAAAGAAGAGACTGGCGCCCTATAGGGTCATCCACATATGAACAAGCTCCTACTTTACGTTTGATATAGAGGATACCAGAATTAAATGGATCGTTCTTGTCCCCAGCATACCACCAAGGTTTCTCTGTAGAAAGACAAGATGAAGCCATAACATTCAAAACATGAATAAGCTGTTAACATAAAGCTATGTGTACCAACCTTCAGGATTAAGTTCAATTACTTGAGGCCAGTAACGAGGACCGCACACTCGAACCGTTTTTAACTGCAGCAGTATATTGAATATCAGGAAAATTGATTGTTGAAAAACACAGCAGTGGTCAATGATTTAGTTGGTCATTATCGGACCAGTTACAGCAGTAGGTAAAACTTTGCAGCTGCCTCCTTCCCAGATTAAAGTACTCTACTTTCAGGACGCTCCAAAACAAAACTAACAGATTTAGGAATTTTGTTGTGTTTCTTATTCATTCTTGACAAAGAAGCATACAATATAAATACACAAGGCAAAGGGAAAGAAGAGGAAACTAATCTATGAATCTCTGATTTTATGGGATTGCCTACAATCACTAATATTATGGATTATAATCGGCTCCCGTTACTCCTACATTAAATACATAATCATTTACATTTTTACATTTTCCCACACTCCCCCTCAAGCTGGCGAGTGGGAGTTTCCCATTCCCAGCCTGGATAAAATTCTCTCGAACATCGGTCTACTTAGTCCTTTGAAAACACCTGCTAGTTGTTCATGAGTAGGCACGAATGGAGTACAGGTTAAGCCATTGTCTAGCTTCTCCTTGACAAAATGTTTGTCAACTTCAACATGCTTTGTTCGATCATGCTGCACTGGATTGTGAGTTATGTTTATTGCTGAATTATTGTCACAATAGAGCTTCATTGGTCCCTCCCAATTGAACCTTAGATCTTTTAGGATGACTTTTTTTAGCCACAATAGTTCGCATATACCATGTGCCATCACCCGAAATTCGGCTTCAGCACTAGATCGTGCTACCACTTTGCTTGCTTCTCCATGCCACAAGATTTCCTCCGAGAAGAGTGCAATACGATATAGCGTCAACTGATGACGTAGCATAGCTTGCATCGGTGTATGCTTCAAGCATTACACGGTTATTTCTTTCAAACAAGATTCCCTTCCCCGATGCTCCTTTGAGATACTGTAAAATCCGGTGTGCGGCTCGTAATGGGTTTCCTTTGGGTTATGCATGAACTGACTGACCATGCTTACAGCATAAGCTATGTCAGGTCTGGTATGAGACAAATATATAAGTTCCTCCACAAGCCGTTGATACATTTCTTTGTTCACAATTTCATCTTCTTCTGCATTTCCTAGTCTATGATTCGGGTCTATAGGAGTACTAGCACGTTTGCATGCACCTTGACCAGTTTCCATGAGCAAATCTATAACATACTTCTGTTGGGATATAAAAATTCCCTTTCTTGAATGAGCAACTTCAATTCCAAGGAAATACTTAAGTCTTCCTAATGTCTTGATCTCCAAATTCTTTAGCTAGACATAGGCTCAAGGCTTGTTGCTCTTCTTTATCATCTCCTGTTACAATGATATCATCCACATAAACCAGTAGCACTGTTATTTTTCTTGTTTTTGAGTGCTTGATGAAGAAAGTGTGATCCCCTTAACTTTGTTTATATCCCAAAGTCAACATAGCCCTGGTAAATCTCCCAAACCATGCTCGAGGAGATTGTTTTAAGTCGTATAGTGCATTTTTTAACTTACACACCGTATTGGCTTTTGTTCCTTTTCCATAACCAGGTGAAACATCCATATAGATCCCGTCCTCAAGTTCTCCATGCAAGAATGCAAATCCCAATCAAGAATAGCAGCTAGGGATATAATAAACCTAACTGTATTCATTTTTGCAACAGGTGCAAATGTCTCAAAGTAATCTATCCCTTGGCTGCCAGTCTTGCTTTATACCTCTGAATTGGCCCATCCGTGTTATATATCACTGTATAAACCCATTTGCATCCTACTGGCCTTTTTCCTTCCGGCAGTTTAACCAACTCCCAAGTTTTATTCTTTTCAAGTGCTTCCATTTCCACATTCATGGCTTGCTTCCAATTTTCATTAGATAATGCCTCAGATAAATTTGTAGGAATGGAAATGGGGTTGAGGTTGACAAGAAATGGTTTGTAGGTGGGAGAGAATTTTTGGAAAGAGGTGCAGTGTGATAAGGGATACAATGGTCTTTTTGTGCATTCTCTTGTTCTCTTTCTAACGGCAATAGGCAAAGATTGGTCACTTGTTTGAGACTCAGTTACGCTTTGCAAGGGTATAGAGTCAGAAATTGTTACCTCGTTTGAAGGACCAGTATCAGATTCTCGAACTTGCTCAGGTCCAAGAATGTTCATCTTTTGTCTTGAGTATACCAGGTTCTTCCTAAACCAAGTGGATTTGAATTCTGGAATAGGTTCACGATCTGGTGGAATTGTTTCAGGGTTTTGAGTAACAGGAGTACTTGGGGAGTGTTCAGGCTCAAGGATAGGAGTGGAGTGAGATAGGGATGGAATAAGCTCACGAGCTAGTGAAACTATTTCGGGATCGTGGATAACAGGAGTATTTAGGAAGTGCTCAGGGATAGAAGTGGAAGCTAATATAGATAAGTCAAGTAAAAGATCTTCCAGGCTACCCTTATCTTCCTTTCGATCCTCCCCCTAAAGATAAGGTTGGGTGAAGTGGGGTTTGTTTTCGCTAAAGGTTACATCCCTTGACACAAAAAAAAACTTTCTAGATGAGAGGTGGTAACATTTGTACCTTTCTGGGTTGAGGAATATCCCAAAAAAAAACACTTTAGAGCCCGAGGATCAAGTTTGTTTCTGTTTTGGCTATAGACGTGAACAAATGAAATACATCCAAAATACGAGGTACAAGATTGTTGGAAGTGGACGCATTTGGGTAAAAGGAAGAAAGTACATCCATAGGACTTCTGAATTCTAAAACTCGGGTAGGAAGTCCATTTATAAGACAAGTTGTTGTAAGCACTGCTTCTCCCCAAAAATGTTTTGGAACGTTACTTTGAAATAATAATGCTCTGGTTTGGTTTAATAAATGCCCCATTTTTCCTCTATGACACTCCGTTCTATTGAGGTGTTTTAACACATAAAGATTCTTGAATTATTCCCTTTTTTTGAAAATAAGAGGTGAGAGTTTGATTGAAAAAGTCTCGAGCATTATCGGGTCTTATTTTTTTGAACTTCTACTCCAAATTGATCTTTTATCGTCGAAATGAAATTAGGGAGAATAGTGTTAACATCATACTTATGTTTTAATAAGAACACCCAAGTAACCCGTGTACAATCATCAATGAATTTCACAAACCATCTTGCACCTGACACATTGGAAATATTAGACGGAACCCAGATTTCAGTGTGAATAAGATAAAAAGGAGAGTTGCTTCTTTTATCACTGATAGGAAAAAGGATACGCTTGTGTTTAGCCAGCTCACATACCTCACAATGAAGACTTTCAACATCGATTATTTTAAACAAATAAGGAAAAATAACTTTAATAATCCTAAATGAGGGATGACCTAAACGACAATGATGAAGTATGATTTTTTCTTTATTGGAAAGAACAGATTCTGATACGAGAGAGTGAGAGAATCTGGTACTTTTTGGAATCTCAAGACAATAAAGATCATTCTTTTCCTTAGCAAGTCCAATTGTCTTCACCAAATCCTTTTTCCTAAAGCAAACAATATCCGTCACAAAATACCACTTGAAAAGGTAAATCTCGTGCTAGTTTCTTTACGGAAATCATATTAGTGGACAATTTTGGGACGTAAAGAACATTTTTTAAAAGAATGGATGAGCTTAATTGGATATCTCCTATACTGGCTACGGTGGTTTGAGTTCCATCAGCAGTGGCAATTTTCTTATTACTTGGACAATGTGAGTATGTGAAGAAGTGTTTGGAAGAGAGTCATATGGTCAGTTGCTCCCGAATCAATGATCCATGAATATTTTAGGGTTGAACCTGAGACATTAAATCCAAATGAACAAGGATGCTCACCTGAATAGGTTAAAAACAATTACCTGGGAATGAAAAAGGATGTTCACCACCGGAAGGTTTTTCCAGAGTGCTAAAAAATGACCCGAGCTTTTCCACTTCCTCTTGATTAAGGTTTGTTGGCTCTTGTTTGACTTATTCTAGGGTTGGGTCGATTGTGACATGGGCTTGTCCTTTTTCTCTAGTCGTTGCACTTTTCTACCTCCACTCTTGGCTTGGAGGTTTGCCATGTAACTTCCAACATTTCTCCTTGGTGTGACGTGCCTTTTTGCAATAAGTGCACCATAACCCATCTCGATTTTGAGTCCCGAGTTGATCACCTTTCCCGGATCCAGATTCGTAGTTGGTTCTATTTTCCCTCCTTATCTTGACATTTTCGGCCACCATTGTCGAGCCATTCATTGGAGGGGTCTCAAGCATTAAGGTTTTCCTCCTCTCTCCACTTCTAACAATAGTCACCAGTTCATTAAAGCAAGGTACTTCAGATTTTCCAAGGATTTGAATCCTCACTTGATCAAAGTCAAAGTTTAAACCTGCAAGAAACTGAGAAAGTCATAAATTCTGTCTTGTTCAATGAAGTCTTTGAGTATCGCCGCATCTTCAGAGCAATTGGTCTTGATTACCCTATAATGATCGAGTTCTTGCCACAACGATTTTAATTGATTGGCATACTCGGTTACTGTTTTTGCTTCCTTGATTTGCTGCCATAGTCTTGATTTTCACTTCATAAATCTGAGTTGCATCTTTTGCTTTAGAGTACGTTCGTTGAATTGCATCCTAAATCCCTTTGGCATTAACCATCAACATCAGAGGGTCACTTATTTCAGGAATCATAGAACTCCATAACCACACCATGATCATGGAATCTTCTTCATCCCATGCTTCAAACTTGGGATCTTCTCGTTTGGGTCCTGTTCCAATGAGATGATTGATTTTGCCCTTCTCTTTCCCGGTTAGGAATTGTTGACAATGAAGGCCACAAAAAAGGAATCAAAGGAAGGAGGCAATGAAGGCATGCGAAACTTTCAAAGAAGGTTTATGAAGGCTAAAAAGGCTTCCTCAAGCTTTGATACCTCTGATACCATAACAGATATAGGAATTCTGCTGTGTTTCTTATTCATTCTTGACAGAGAGGCATACAATATAAATACACTAGGCAAATGGAAAGAAAAGGAAACTATTCTATGAATCTTTGATTTTATGGGATTGCCTACAATCACTAATATTATGGGATTATAATCGGTTCCCATTACTCCTACATTAAATACATAATCATTTACATTTTTACATTTTCCCACAAAAACAAGCAAGAGGAACAACTACACTCACTGATATACCCTCACTCATAACTAACATCTTTTTTGGAAGGGTGTCCAGGCTATGCGTGGACTAATCCTGGCAAATTGTGAGTGCAAGAAATCAGCCCTGATAAACTTAGTGGCCATAATTGTTGTGTACGTCTAGAATATAACTTTGTAAAGATGGGATATTCCACCACGTCCCCCAAGGCCTCAAACACTACGCCACAACCCTTGTGGTTACTCATAACTAGCTTGGTGGGAGTTGAAATGATAAAAGGGTGGAGGCACAAAGTGGAAAGGAAATAGAAAGTTGAAATGTCTTTTTGATCGAGTAGCCGGAAGAGAATATATGGACTTCAACACCATGGATGGTTGATTGTATGTTCATGGTTATCATATTAGGTCAAAGGATACCAATCTAGGGGACACAAAAATACTATCGTCAAAATTTCACATATAATGCATTTAAACTTGTTACACTAAGAGTCATTGAAGTCTTACTATGAACATCATATCTCATATGGTTAACCTGCCTAAATTTCACAAAACAGATTGTAATAAGCCTGTATCACTCTAAAAATTATGCAATCTTAATATGAACGTTTTGTGCTAAAGTCTCCCTCGTGATTCAGAATCAAGGGGTAAATACTTTTAAGTCAACTAGTCATGGCATATGTAGTAATGACTTCGATTTTAAAATTATCAGGTTGGAGCTAGACAATGGCAACCACTCACATAATAGTTGCAGTGTCATAAGCGGTTAATTTATAGGTAATGATACTATCTGATCTGAAACTTCGTTTAAGAAATTAAACATAAAAATGCATACGTCCATTAAATAAAGATCCGGTTTATTTGGAGGTGAATGATTTAACACAATAATTGGACCACTCATTTAAGCCAAGAGTATCATAATGACTTCCAAAAGCACATGATAACAGAGCAAAAGGGATGGCAGCACAAAGTTCACATCTTACTAGTATTGGAATAAAAATGCAACTTACAAGAGCACGTTCAGGCAGAATGCAAGGAGTGACCTCACAAAAACTTGTTTCTGCATAATGCTCAGTTTCCTTAACTGTAACTTCAAGAGGAGCATAAACTGGTAGGCCAGTATCCACGTCAACTGTTTGAACCCAGCGAGCTTCCGTAGCAATAACATACAAATGTCGAAATGCCTGTAAACATAATTTTTTCGCAGGGTTATGGAGAAGCAAAGGATGGAAAATACCCTTAATTTTTCTTCTGCTTAATTCTGTAACAGAAGGAGAATACTCCAGAGCAGGAAACAAGTACCCCAGATAAACACACATTCAGTCAAAAGATAAAAAAAAGCATTTGCAACATGGAAGCATAAGCCATTGCAGCCTGGGAAAAAAGGGAATATCACCAAACAAAGAAAATTCAACAACAAAAACAGCAAGACAACTAGAGCCAAGTTTTCAGGATAACCCAGGTAAAGAACCTATTCTCCTAGCATGAATGGGTAATACATGAAAGAGACAGACTAGCATCTTTGTGCCAATACATAAACTTAACGAGTTAATATATTACAAGCAGAATCTCCATAGGCATGGAGCTTATAACAAGGATCCCCACTCAAGAGTATCATCCATCACTTCAAAGTCTAAGCATGAGAGAACATGCTGGCCCAACTTAAATGAGATATGATAGCTTCTTTAGGTCAGTCCGAGATCAAAGTTATTTGAGCAAGTCATACAGATCTCTCTACGGCTATCATGGCTAGATGTTTATTTGTGACTGAACCACTCCAGAAAATATTTTCGAAGATATTTGTTTGTGTGGAAACAAGCGTATATTATAACAGAGAGATTCTCCACCAACAACACTTGTACCCAACTTTTAGAAAGTTTCAAACTATAACTACTTTTTCCTCAATATTTCCATGTTGAACATACCCTCAGGCCTCACCTCTTCATTTCCTGGCTATGCTAGTTGGGATCTTCCAAATAAATCAAGTACCTAGGAAGAATATTACATTTAAGTTGATTATGTTCTATAAGATCCATCAAGCTGCTAGCAGTGATCATTAACCATATGTTGAACCACATTTCAAAGTTGTTAGTAACACTAATGACAACCATTTTGTTAGGCTGTTGACTGCCCTTTTTACCCCTGTAGGATAAACAGAACAGTATCTAGCAAAACATGACAGACATAAGCCAATACACTTGCATGACATCAGATAATAATCACCATCCCAAGCAGATAAATGTTTGCATACAATGGACAAATCTTCTCATATGTCTAGAGCATGAATTTTTTTGAAGAGAAGTGGCATCTTGAAGTGAGATAGCTTCTAACAGAGAGAGAGAGAGAACCTGAAGGTGGCAGCGATTGTCATTTGGTCCAGTAGGTAAGCGTGGGTAGAGAGTTATCAACAATGCAGCAACAGAGCTGTTGCTAGTTGAGAAAGTCCTCATTCCACCACCAAGGAACAAGAAACCAATAGCTAAGCTCACCTGAAAAGAGTAAATGCATTTTTAAATTACCTAGATTAAGATATAGAAAGCAAATCAAGTTTAGGAAATTATTAGCATGTAGTAGTGTCAGGTCATCACATTAAAATTTCACATCAGATAGCATAACTACTTAAATTCAACATATTTACAGGCCTAAGAGAGAACTTACAGCCATTTGAGTACCATAGTTGACGTGTCCATCAGCTGAATTTCTACAGCGGAGAAATCTCAATAATCGAAAAGTTGGTAGGTGACCGGAACCAGCCATAACCTGATACTCCAGAGATGTCATTCCAAAAGTAAAATCAGTGACAAGAAAAAGAAGAGAGAAAGCCAACAACTTAAGTAAGCAGATTGCACTTACCACAGACAAGGAAAGAGCAATCAGGTGGAGGCATGTTTCTAGTGTACCCCTATCAACATACTGCAACAATCCTCTTGGAAATCCATGCAAAATTTTAACAGATAGAGGCTTTATCTGCGAAATAAATAAGAAGAAGCTGAAAGCCATAGAAAGAATGAATACAGAAGGCAGTTTCACAGAAGAGTCATACCTCATTAAGGAAGGCAACAGCATAACTATAAAGCAAGTGCTGGGCACTTCCATCTTTGGTACCAGCAAATCTCAACCCTGGAAACAGTAATGCTAATCCTTTCAGTCCAACTATATAATGGATAACTGAAATTTAAAAAAGAGGAACATCCCATCCACCCCAGACCTAGTCAGTCAGCATCACACTATCATTCAGTTCACCATACAATTGTCCGATATCATAACATCACAATCTCATTATTTTCATGCTTTGACTTTCTAATACTTCATTTGTGACAAGGAAAATTAGATGTTGAGAATATACAAGTGTACCAAGTTTGCAATGACAGCATGCTCAAGTACATAATATGTAAAGTAATGCTGCATCTACGGGAAAAGCAAGCGTAAATAATTGTAAAAGGATCACATACCAAGTGAAATACATGCACCAGCCACAATATTCACATAGGCCTTAACAACTGCTTCACAGTCCATTTCATCAGAATCACCCATTTCATCTTTGAGACCTTTGACGCCACCTAAGACTACATTGGGTATCTGACCCTGAATCCAATCTTCTGATGGATGAATCCTGAAAGCAAAAAGGTGTTAAAGTAGATCCACGCATACAGGATGGTCATGTACCGTATGTATTTAAATACTACTACCTGCTCCACATTATCAAATTACGGGAAATGACATGAAGCATTATGAAGTCGGGCCTCACATATTGCAAATCAAAATGTGTTTGTGGGATACAAAGCTTGGATAGAATTGCTTGTGATTCAGTCTGCAATCAACAATAATGCAAAATGAGAATTTTTTGGAAGGATCTGGAGTTCTAACAATATGCAGCATGTTGACCATGGGAACAGAGTTCACATAGAATCACAATCCTGGATATAATCATGTTGCCAAAGAGTTACCTTTAAGTACATAAGACCCAAAGCAATTATAGCCCCGGGTGCAGTTACATCAATGTTGATCTGTGTTCCATCCATCATCTGCAATAGAACACAAAAGCAAAATTTGGGAAGAGAGAATGAGTAACCTATTCTTTCACAAACAAAATTTACATTACAGCGACCCAATCTAAATTTGGTAATGCACAACCTGCCCAGAACCACGATTGTGATCATCTATCGATGTGTTGGAGAAAATGGACCTTTCCTGAGGAAAGCCAAAGCAACAAAGTCATCCACATGAACTCCTAATACTACGCATCTTTCAAAAATAAGTACAAATAACTGAAATCCTGTAGAAATGTGGTGAACAGATTCAAACAGCAGTTACATTGTGAATCTCTTTGCCGCCGGCATATTGGAACAACCGCTCCACTAACGTGTCCATAAAACCAATTGCATCTAGACCACGACCTTCAATTAGAGAGTACATGGTAAGCAACAATTACAACTTCCACAAAGTGTGATTGATACAACAACATACCCAAAGCAACAAGTCCCAAGGAAAATCCAGCAGATACAGCATATCCTTCCCTTTCAAGTACATTATCACCTCCACTTCTACGACCTATCTCACCCTGAAAAAGTTATGAACCTTGATTGTGGAAATTTAGAAAGTGGTAAAGATGAAAATTGTAAGCAGAAGCATGTGATCATCAGCTCAACATCAATGGCCATGGCTGTCACAAATATTCTTGTCTCAAAGAAACTATGTAACCTCTTGGGTTCTCTAAAACTGCACTTGCAATGCCCATACTTCACAATTATTAACATGCAATTTAGATAATGTGCATGCTCTAATTGTCAGTCCTTAACTATTTTGAGCTTGCCAATACTATTTCCCAAGATAAGAAATCAAATTTCAAAAAAGAAAAAATCAGACGAGCCTAGCCAAAAAATTGGTAGAACATAAAAAAAATGGAATAAGATGAAATTAAAAGGCAGCCCCCTGGTAAAAGTGAAGCATAGTTTCAAGTTTCCTATATTAAAAATTATTTTGTCTCACCTATCACTCGAGCAGCAATGAATTATGTTATAAATAGGTGCTTATTTTTGGAGATTGATGATATGGGTAAGGCTTTATTAAAATGGATTGACAATGAGAGAGCAATAGAAGTTCTGAAGGGGATTATTTACTTCAAAGATTAGAAGGGATTCAATCACCTGCAGGGAACAACTGCATATTTTTCATTTGCTCTTTATACAAACTATCAACTGCTATCAAGAATAAATTATCCTGAAAGTTCTATTAATTGGTTTTGGGAACTTCAAAGCTAGCAGAAAAAAGAATAATCCAACTACGTATTCGGATAACAATTTGTAGACATTACACATAGGAACAGTAAGAACATCTCACCAGAAGAATTTGCATCGTTTGTGGGTGTGCAGATCCTTCATAAAGAAGCCCAACTGAGACAAGCGCTGCAGACTGAAGAATTGGTGAAATAAAAATTAGAAGCTAACGCGCATCCAGAGACAAGGGTTAACTAGTCAATCCTATTTCTCAGAAAAATAATATTTGTAAATTTTCTTAATTATCTAAAAATGAAAAGAAAGAGGGTGAAAAAACTTGGATACAATTTGAAAACAGCATCAGCACGTGAGTGTTATGTGGTGTGTGGTAGTGTAGATCTAATTGGATGCCCTAGCTAGATAGTCATAACTATTGTATATGTAAAAAATCCTTGTGTAACTGGCCCCCAGAGATAATCAAGCTACCATTTTTCCTATACAAGTTAACTAGTCATCCTATTTCTCAGAAAAATAATGTTTGTAATGCATATACACACGAGAAAGAGCACTCCACTAATCTGAAAAGGCAGAATGTACTATTGGAAAGATATAACCAAGGCAAATTACAGAAAATTTGTTTATCAACAGCAATATGGCTATGCATTACCTGCAAAAGGGTTGGTAATTCCAGTTCTGGGAAGGAAGATGGATGGCGAGCTGGTATGTGTACATATAGAGACTGCAAGAGAAGAATAGTGTTGGTCCATTGTTAAGCATCAACAACAAGTCTGAATCCAAAAACAAATGAATGAAGAAGATAAACCAATGTGCTCGTGTTCTGTTAGTCGCACCAACACGTTATCAGGAAAATAAAAAAAGAAAAGTTTCTTACTAGTGACATAAATCAACTTTTTTTGCATCAAAAACAGATAAAACTACAATTAGACTAAAGCCCAGCAATAGAGAACTAGCACTAACATTCTTACTAGTGACATAAAACTCACTTCTTTCCATAGAGAACAGATCAAGCTACAATTAGGCTAAAGGCTAACAATAAAAAACTAGCATTAATGGTAAAGAAAATTAGGTGATATAAAAATTTAAATGTAGGACTGCTCCATTCAATGAGGCTCCACCATTCCAGGATTCAAAAAAAAGAGGCTTGAGCAGATCTTGTTAGCAGAATATAAACTCAAACAACTGCCTGTAGGATACAAGATCTCCTGCTTGATATTTTGAGCATGACACATTATAAAAGTTATGGTACAAAAGCCAAGATACTAACCTTTGATATTGCCGGCTGCATTGTTCCTCTATAAGATGCAGCAAGTCCAAGCATTAGTCCTACTGTAGTGCTTTCATGTTCCTAAAAAGATGGAACATTAGATTTGCCGAGAATATCACTCGTTTCTTCATATAACTTTATCATGTGGTGTTGATGCCACATTCAAGCAAGAACAAGTCAATATTGGAATGTATCCAAGGTATAACTTGAGTGCTATATATGGTGTTATATGTCACATCAAAAAAAACAAGGACCCAAGATTGTGTGCCTTTTGCTATTAAAAGAATGAAATAAAAGCATCAAGCCAGTAAAACATTATCTCCAAATCATCTATATAAAAAAATTCCACCAGGCAAGCTAAAAGAAGTTACTATAAAAATCAGCCATTTCCAACATTCTTCCAGAATTCTCAAACTGTTTCCTGCCGTGCCGTAGTTCCTTACCATGTATCCATTCTTGTAACCTGACAGCTTTCAGAAACATGTGGCTGGGAAAAAATTTACATCCTTCTAGTACGATGTAAAGAAAGAATGTTCCAGAAATGGTGAGGCAATAATTGGTTCCAATATTCAAGTACTGAAGGACAGCTTTCTGGAATGAAATGTAAAGCCTGCTCTTGAAAATTTAGTTGCAGTATCAGAATATCCACTCCTTTGCTAGTCGGGTTATGTCCATTTGATTTTTTCACAAAAGCACTAAATGCCCATCAAAATTTCCTATAAGTTACAAAGCTACCATCCTTTCCTTAAAGCCAAAGACACAGTGAGGAATTGTTATCTACTAGTGCAACTAATTTTGGTTTCCACAGAGTCCCAACCATACAGATGAGACGAACATGGAAAAAAAATATAAGTCAAAGAATGTGCAAGTGATTCCCTTTGCTACCTCGGTGAACATTCTGATGCAAGTAATTACCTAATTTGAACATCCATATTAGATAGATGTTAAACAAAAAATTTGCTACATAAAAAAATATAAAAAAGTAGCTAATAATGATAACACCATACCTGAGAATAGTATTGATATATATCAGTTATATTCAGAACATCCAAATGACCGTGCAACCCCAGCGCAAGTAAAAGACCTGCATGAGTAACATTTGGTTCCTCGGGTTTATTGTAGATGATCCAAGTTCTTGACATTTTTCCCTGAAAAGATAATACTTCGGATTACTAGACCCAGAATGTAAGACTAGGCATGCTCAAATGCAAATATCAGTAGATTGAGGAAGAGAGTTGAGAGGAGCTCCAGCTAGTGAAAAAAGTTCAAGATGGGATAGCCATGGACAACCAAATTGAATTTAATTCATGCATTGTTGTCAACAAGAGAATTCAGAGCTCGGATCAATCAAGAATTATCAATGTGGCAAAGATAAAGGGATAGCGAAATGCCCAACGCAAAAAGGTGCACTCAGTTTTTAAGCTCCTCCCACCAATAATTCCACCCATAGTTGGATTGCTCATAATTCCATTGTAAGATCCCATGCATGAAGTCATAAACTCATGAGAAGCAGGCACTACCAAAGTAAGCCACTTGCAAATTCCTACTACGAGGAGATAAGAAGCGAGGTTACCAGGTTGGAAAGTGCTGGTGGGGTTTATGATACTAGTGCTAATAATAAACAAATATTGTTTCAATATTATAAAAACAAGCAAGAACTCCAAATTTAAGCTCAGAAACTAGCAAGTACTACTGCAAAATAATTGTTGGAATGGCATAATGAATGAAGCCATAATTTGGTTCAAATAACACATTTGCCTCGAAAAAATGGACCAACAAAGTAAACCATGGAAGTCGATATGTCAGTGGAAAATCCACTCTCGGATCTTGTAACGATAATCATTGATATGATTATTTTCACAAGTATGGAGAAGAATTAACTAGTGCATTGTTTTCAGAAGAAACAATTAACCTGGAGAGGCGCCATCCGTAATCCAGCAGCTACGGCATTGTGAAACTCGGGCCAAGATTTGAGTTCCTGTATATTCCTTATACTTGGATCCAAATTAACCTACAGAGCATGAAATAAAACTGAAAATTAAATAAAAGAGGCTATGATACTGACACCAGATGTCAGATAAAAATAATAATTGTAACGAGCTTACAGTTGCATTTTGTTGGGCAGGCAACCGGCCTGCTAATATCAATTTTGGGACAGGAAGTGCCTGCAGAAAATTTAAAAGTAGGTCACGACACTCTTCTTAGGCAATCATTGCAGGTACACAGCAACAAAGAAGCAAAAGCATAAACCATTTCTCAAGTGTTGCAGTGTTTGACCATTACGAAGTAAAGCAAGCTAATTCCAACTTCTTGAAGAGGATGAAAAGGGTGTCACCTCTGTTAACAAAGTGCATGTGGTTGAAAGGGTAAATGCACCACGGCCAACAGGAAGAGCAGTTGTCCTTTGAGCAAGCTGCCATAGCTGAGCCTGCACAAGACAAACAGAAGATAATATCATAGTACGCATTTTTATGACAAAGCGGTAGTTAAGTTAGGATGTAATGAAAGCTTTGATTCCTCCCTCAATCTTTTCAAGTCAATGTAAAAAGGTGGTGTAAATAGCTGTATGTGCACCTTCCTTCTTTCCCTTTTCCTATTTGATTGATTGGAGAGATGCGGTTTTTTGGGCAGAGAGAAGGTATGGACAAGGAAAGGATCACGTCTTTGATCCTTTCCTAGCATCCAGAAATGATGATGCATGCACAGACATGATACATGAATGGGCTCGACCCTAAATAAAGAATGTGATGTCCATTTTCTTGGCTCATGCTTCATCGTTAACAAAATACAGAACTATTTATTGGTTGTCAGAACAAATTTGGGGATGATAAGAGCATCACCAGAAGCATATAAACGAAAATAGTCTCCCTTGGATTCACGCAGCATTTTACTCTACAAATTTCAACTTACTGAGCACATTCACCTCAAATTTCAAAATTAGGCATACCGAGGAACCAGAAGTTACAACTATTTTACACCAGACAGACAGGTTAAAGAGAAAGAAAAAAATACAGCATACAAAATCATCAGCCACAGCCGAGGTATACATCCAATTTCTTGAAAGATATCTGTATGAGGCGGAAGTATGTTTATGAAATTCTTAACTTCCAGCTCATTAAAACTGTATATGAAATCTTTCAAGATTTGTATGATTGACCTGGTAGCATTTATAAAGATCCAAAGCAATAGATTACCTGTTGGAGGTCCTGATCAGATGCAGTAGGATTAACTGGTGTTTGAATTGCCACAGGTCTTGCCGAGCACAGAAGGCGTCTAACCTGCACATGTAAGTTCAAAAAGAAAAGCATACAACCAGTGAAGGAAGCAAAAGCATGAAAAAGAAGTTAGACCTACATATACAAATAAAAGCATAAAAAGGATGTTATACTGACGTAGAAGCAAAAGATGGATAAGTAATTATGTATAGACATAAAATAGAGAAGAGAACAAAGACCATCGATTTCAGTCATGAAAGACTAGATCCAATTCTAGTAATAAGCATTCTTACTGACAATCTCAGAGAGAGAACAACAGACACTTGCAAGCACAGAACTGTTAGCAAAATTATCCAGAAAAAGTAAGCCTAAAAATACCTCGTTAAGTCGCAGATCGCGACCATACCGCAACTGTGTGCTAGAGTTGAAAATATGCTCCATGCCATCGATTGTAGAACCATCCATGGAATCGGTATCCTCAAGCTTGGAATTATCCAACCCAGTCGCATCAGTAATTGAAGAAGGAATAGTAACTGGATGTAGATGTAGCATGTAAGGTGTAGACATGGAAACAGAAGTCACATTGTTGGAGGACTTAACTTCAGTGAACTTATTTGAGTGTGCTAAACAAGACAAAGATAGGTCTTCCCTTCCAAGAAGAACATATGCAGAAGCAGGCCAATCAGAAGGTGGACACTCCCGGCATTTGTCCAGTACCTATAAGATGTAGATAACAACATGAAGTTATTTGGATAAATATAGATATATTTGTATGTATGTATTTACGGCACCAACATGTATGTATAGTGTAGATAGAAAGCAACACGAACCACCAGCACATCAGTAACTTGTATGGAAGTATGATTTTCTGTCAAGTCAAGCTCACGAGTGCGAATGTAATTACTCACCAAACCAACAAGTTTCAAAGCATTACTTACATGTCGCAAGGGAAGCGATACACCAGCAGGCAGCAAGTCTAGTTGTTGCAATCCAAAACTTTCTCCCACCATTGCCAGTACCGTTAGCTCCTCAGGAGTGGAAGCTGATCCAGTAGCAAACTTGCAATAAACATCAGATGACAGCTTCTTTCCTAAAAGTTTTGCACCAMATAACACACTATAAAATGATACTATCTTCCTGGCCCAGCTCACAACAGAATTTCCATCCTCACGCATGAGAGCTGGAAGATCAGCAGTGCTGGCAAAAGTACATCCATATCGCAAGCAGTTCTCGAGCCACCTAAACAAACTGGGAGGAGTTCTTTGAGATAGCGGAGTTTCGTCAATACAGTACTTCCTTGAAAGTGCAGGAAAGTCGCGTATATAAACGTCCAGATAACCAGCTTCTCCCAAAAAATTTGAAACTTCACATAATAGAGCAACAAGAAGACCTAAATCCCTGCAATAACAATTATACATTAGATCTAAAATTCCAACTCCGATAGACAAAAGATCTCATGTTGAAGCAACATTACCATCGTGGCATCACCAAAGTTCAACCTTAATTATTTAATGAACCATTCACAAGAAAAATGAAAACAGAGCATTATCAGTTATGAGTTAAAAAACATTAATAGCTTAAATGATGTAAAGAAAAGTACCGTTCAGTTGGTACAAGGATTTTTTTCAGTTGCACTTTTAATAACAGTTGGTAGCCATTGCCAATTAGCATGACAGTTCTTACAACAACAACAAATGAACTAGAGGTATGAAAATACAAGGAGAAAAAGAGAAACATACATATTAACATGAAAAGAATCAAAATACTCATTTATATTAGATCCTGAGAGAAGATACAGCCATTGTAAAGAATTGGTGAGTTACTGCTGAACCAACTACTAGTAGTCGCTTTCTGGCAATTAAAGAGATGCAAATATCGAACTTCTGGATTCTGGTGCACAATATTTAGGGGCTGTTTGGCAGTTGCTGAATGGTTTGGTGCAGAATGGTTAAGAGGGTCAAAATGGTTAAGTGCTGAATGAAACAAGGTTGTTTGGTAACTATTCTCTGAATGATAACAAATTACCATTTTAACCCTCTGTATGATTTAGTACCGAATGAAATATAGTTGTTTGACATAAATCTGAATAAACCAGTTCCACCACCAACATCCACCACAATCAGATCAAGGCGATTGAGATCAGCCGGTTCTAAAGCATCGTCTCTCATGTCTTCAGTCCAATGGCCAGGGTTTATCACATGATCATAAACAATTGATAGAAATCTATAGAACCAGAATGCCTCTTTTTTGTGTTGTATAAATCTAGGTTGTGAAGCTGACCTAGGTGCAGAAACGCTGCATTTGGGAACAATTAGAGTTCTAGATCGAAAACTAGGGTTTCTACGAACCAAATTGATTTTGGGTAAATTCCTAAAGGAACCCAGACTGCACATCCGCAAATATCATCACTCAAATGATAAATCTTGAATAATAACAATAATAATGCGGAGAGGACGCAACAACAAAGGGGCTGTGGAAGGCAACAAGGAGGCGAGATAGAAAACTACCAGCAACAAGAAGAGGACGCAGCAGCAAAGGGGTTGTGGAAGGCAACAAGGAGAGGATGCAGCAGTAAGGAGGCGAGATCGAAAAACTTACCAGCAATAAGGAGAGGACGCAGCAGCAAGGGGGCTGTGGAAGGCGGCCGGACGACACAAACAGCCATCTGCTACTTCATTCGGGTAGGTATCCATCGCCTTGTTTTTTATTTTATTGAATTTTTTATCATTTCAAACTCTCTGATTATACCAATTTTCTATTAGAATCTGTTATCATCTATGCATTTTTGAGGGTTTGCTATTTGGTAGTTGCATTCCAGGGAGGCGAGATTGATGGAAGGAGAAAGGAACGTGGCTGGAAAAGGTTGAGAGGGTTGAGAGGGCAAAAATGGAAGAACATACATCTGAACCATTTAGGACCCCCCCTAACCCCTAATTCGTTAAGAGGATTTTGTCATCGTTAAGAGGTTCTTATTTTTTTGCCAAACAGCTTATACCTCTTACCGATTAAGAGGTTTCCTCTTAATGTCACCATTAAGAGGCAACCAAACATCCCCTTAGGTGTGATAAGAACTGCTAGTGGGCATAACAACTCTGTAGCTTTACATAGTGCAGAGTTTAGTATGCGTGATCCTCTTAACATATGAACCACAGACTAGATTAAATATTGAATGTCATGTAATATCCTAAACAATGTGTTCTAGTACCGTGTATGTCCAATTGTGTGAAAAGCATGAAATTAGTTCAGCACGAGCTCAGTTTACCAAAAGTGAGCCATAAGCAATGGAGGACCAAAGTCAAGTAGGACCTTCAAACTTAATCACCTAAAAAACTCAAGGCAGGAGTGTCATGCATTTTGTATCAAGAAAGGGGATTTCTTAATGCCCTCACAACAGTATGACCTTTTTCTTGTGTGAAAATTTTGTTTTGTGACCATGAGACTGATTCCTTGGTGTATTTTCTTGCAACAAATTAAAATGCAAACTTCTAATTGACTGCCTAGAACGATGATAACCTTATGACAATAAGGGACAGCCAGAAGGTTTCTAGCAATAAAAAGGATGCTTCCTTGGTTCAAGCCTTGCATTTGATGCCACAGAAAGAAAGCAGAGAAAACCCACCTTACCAAATCCCATAACACTTTCAACCTATCATAATATGCCATCTTACTTTAGCCACACAACACCCATCAGACCATGTTGCTGGTAACAGAACCACGGGCACAGGGAATAACTTCCATATATCAATGGGAAGAGCGTTGGCCATAATAATAATAATAATAATGATGATGATGATGATGATGATGATGATAATAATGATAATAATAATAATAATAATAATAATAATAATAATAATAATAATAATAATAATAATAAAAAGAAGAAGAAGAAGAAGAAGAAGAAGAAATGGGAGGTTACCTTTTACGAAGATGATTAAGTTTCAGACTTTCATACACTGCATGTAGTAAATCAAGAATCTCTATCAAGGATTCAAATGAATAGGACGTATCCAGCTGCAGAGAACACGTTCCATATGAAGTAGAACATGATTCATTATTTTGAAGTGACATTCTAGAAGAAAATCCACTCATGAAATGAGATTTAGAATATTTCTCGTGAAAGCTGCTATTGACAAGAAACTCCCATGATGAACCTGAAACTGAACTTGAATGTCTTTGAGGGATTTTCCTATATTTCCCAAAAATTTCTAATATAACAGCAGAGAAAGACTCCCATTCAGAATCAACAGGAGAATCCACCCTAGATAAATAAGCTGAATTGCCATTGCCCCAAAGAAGAACCACAAAACGATTATATAAATTAGCTTCAAGTCCCTCAGCCATTGCTGTGATGCAATCATTTGCTAATGATGATGAAGGATATCTACGAAACGTACATCTGAACATCTGTATAAATAAAAATGAGAAGTAACAATAGAAAGAAATTCAACAGAACGGACATATGAAGAACGTGAGCCATGACATTTGACAAGTGAACACATATATAAACTGATATCAAACCTGTCCATTATTTACAACGACATTGATTCTTCCTTCAACAGCATCAGCCAACCCAATAATGTTTACATCTTGAAATACAGTTGGTGCTTCCAGTGGCTTAACATTATGTGAAACAGCATTGTCTCCTTGAAAAGGAGGAAGGACGTATCTACACAGGCATTGCTTCCCTGACTGATGCAGCATAGGGTCATGTAAGTTCAAAATAAAATATTTAGCACTTCGAGAAAAACGCAGACATTTCTTTCAACTTTTTTTCTTGTTCTTCTTTTAACATGCTGAGGATGATTTACTAGTTAGATCCTGAACTTCGAAAATGCACATCACATACCTCACTTCATAAGGATCATAAGTGAATAGGTGCATGCTGTGTAGATTGTATTAAACCTGCTCCTATGACTCATAAGAGACAAATATATGCCAGTTATGAAGCCAATAACAAGCATAAAATCTAGATCCAAGGTATGTATTTAGCTTGATATTGAAAAAAAAAAAGAGTAATGATTACAAGCTGTTCTAGAGATCTGTACTATATTCAAGAACATCACATGTGGCTTTCTGTATATTTATTTCTTCCTTAAGTTGCAAGATTGAGTGAAATGACTGGATTTTGTTCAATTGGACTTGTACTGAAAAAAGGGTTAAGTCTTAGACCAAGACTTTTTGGAGTTCAATGGACTAAATAATCTTCAGATGTTACACGGCTCCCAAACCAAGCAAACTAGGATATGCATCAGCTTTTCAATCAGCCATCGGAAAGGAATAAATTAACTAAAACAGAGAACAGTAAAATTGACCAAAGTCATGATACTCTCAGACTACCGTCCGATGCTAAGATAAGATCCACTTTGCAAGACCAAGGCCAAGGCCCATATTGAGATAGAAGTCTCCGTAATGCCCTTAAATTTTAGAAGTAGAACTCTAAAAAATGATCAATTGAAGATCTCACGTGTATTACTTTTTAAAGATTACTCTTCCTGAAACCATGTTTATTTGTTGAACTACCCTCCCTTGTACCTTCCACAAATTGCATCAACTCCTCATGGCCGGATGTGAATTGGCCTGTAATGATAACTGAGAATTTTGATATCCCTTTTTTGATGAATTCAAAATTCAAGTTCAAACAATATTAATTGAATTTGAATCTGGATATTGTTTTTGGTTTGGCTATATAATACTGAGGATTCTTTGCATATAAAATAATTACATTTAAGCATTAATATATATATACAACAACTACGTGTATATAGAAATAACAAAATCCATCTATGTGTACACTTAAAAACTACTTGTATATATAAGTTAGCAAAGAAAGAAACAATTTAAAATATATCCATATGTTATATCGGTATAATAATTCATTGATGATTGATATAAATCATGATGTTCTTCGGCAATTGGTTATTAAAATTTGGAACAATTATTTCTCTGTTCACAATTATGATTAATGTTTTCTTTTGAAATTGTAGTTCAATTCTAACTTTGACCAATATGAACTTTGCCAATTTTATTTAGGTTCTAAATCTGTTAATTTCCATTGATTTTTGGATTAAAACCTGCAAGTTTTATCCTACTAATCAAACTCCAACTGACTGATCCATCTAGTCTAGATTCAGATAGTGATTTTGGTAATTGAAATCAAGTTCAAATATGACTATACATGATCCAGTTAGAACCTGTTTACAAGCCTAGATGTAAAGCAAGACCGTGATTGGTTATTTCTAATGTAGCATGTTCTATCTCCCATACATACATACATACATACATACATATATATATATATATATAAAGTTATTGGTCAGAACATTGATGGCAGGAGCAACAAACTTAACCAACTTACATAAAGTACAAGAGTGTTTTCAGGAGCCAAAACAATAATATCTCTATATGGCAGCTGTCCAACTTTGACTCTGGAAAAAATAACAACGAAAAAAGTGAAGCAATGTTCTACCATAATATCAAGTTATCAAATAATAACCAAGAATAAAACAAAAGCAACAATGGACAACCCCTACCTTGGGCGAGTTACAACAACAGGTGCTGCTGTAATGGCCGGTATGCTCCAGCTCATGTCAGGTCTAATGTCATAGAGGATCTCATTATTCAGTTCGACACACTGAAGCCTCACTGCTAGCAACTTCTTTTGTTCTTGAAGAAGGAAACAAATAATTGGAGTGGCATCATTATCTGTTGCCAAAAAGACCTGCATATAATCATTTCAAAGAAACAAGATTCAAGACGATTTGAAGAGACTAAACACTAATGTGAATTGGTTGAAAGCAAAAAAAAAGAGTACTGGTATATCTTCTCTTCATCTGCAAAATAGTACAAGGATATCAAAGAGCAAGTTTGTTAAAATTCAAGCCCCAGTTAAGTTTAAAAATTAAGTCTGAAGCATTATAATACAATCATGCAAAGAGGGACTAGGATGGGTTCAGAAGAAGAGAAACCATGGGCAGAAATATGGCAGTTACCAATGTCCTAAATGATATGAAGTATGAAACTATTGTGATTGTTTTTGTTGTAAGAGCGCATGAAGAGGATAGACTTGAATGGGTGCTATCAAGTGGCCTCAATACACCTAGAATTGAAGCCATTACTACTTTGTCTAAAACCAAACCAAACATACTTAGCATATCCCATCCAGAGTAGGGTCTGGGAAAGTATGATGACCGTGTATGCAGACCTTCTCTCTACCCCAAGGATAGAGAGGATGTTTCTGTGAAGAACCTGACTTGCCAAAAAAAGTTTTGAAGAACAAATTTCGTCCCCAAGAGAAGAACAAGTTTATAAATAAAAAAAGATATACAAGCACACTTAAATATCGAATTATGGTCATTGGTCGGCATAATCAAGTAGATCTATTCACATGCATTTCATCAAGCAGATAAATCATCCCCAAGAAAAGGACAGTAAGCAAGGATAAGAAAGCAAACTCTTTACTGCATGCAATTACTAGAGAATAGAAAGGACTCTGTTAGAAAGTATCTCAGAGTCAAAATCTGTCTCAATATCATCCAAATAATAGAACGTTAAAAATAGGTAATTTCAATTTGAAGGGTAAACACTATCATGCACCAAGGAACCTCAATGTTGCAAGGATCGGGGGTTTCTATGTGTAGCTTTTCCCCTAGCAACTTTGAAAAGAGATTGCTTGCATATCCCGATACCATCACTACCATCACCTTCATGACATAGAAGCAATCTTACTAGTTGCTCCAAAACTCACACCTGGATGATTTTGTAGAAAAATTAAATCTAAAAGAACGTCGAAGGTTCCCCATATGTGCCTTGGGTGATACATAAAACATTTCTTGATCCCACTACAAACTTCAAGGAAGGCTGACGTTGACATTAGATCCAAAAAAATAGTTAGTTAATGGTAAAATTCTAGAAACACATCAAACATGTACAAAAATTCAAGTGTCACTTCTGGTGACATGATAGCAACAAAAACCTCTACAATGTGAACAGCAGTCGAAAGTCAAAACTAATGCATAATTCACCCATTCGAGTAAAGCCTGTATCCTGAAAACGGAAATGGTAACATGAATCTTATTCCATATTAAGATCACTACAGGGGCATGTTACAAATGTTCTCTCTTATTGGCTGTGTTGTCTTCAAGAGCACAGAGCCATTCAGATTTTACATACACTGCAGGAAATTCATATATCCGATGATAGGGAGTGAAGAAAAACGAATAGAGGAAGTAGTGGGGATTACATGGCAAGCAGTAATTAGTTATTTCCACTTCAAAAGTAATTGATTAATGTCCAGTCCATTGAAAATAACAAGATAAACCAAAACAACCAGATCAAGTCATTGCAATAGATGATAGTAGGCTGTTCAATAAGATATAGTTGTAAATAACTATAATATAACACTCATGCCATTCTCGCTCCTTCCTTGGTCTATTTTCCCTAGCGCTATATTCTATCAAAGAATAATATGTATTACTTTCTGGAAACATTTAGTCCAGTCCATAATTTCATTTAAAGAACGTCATAGAAATGTAGGTTGAATGTGTCACCTCACTTGCAGCTGCCTGTGCACCTTTCCCTTGCCATATTCTTCGAAAAAAGAACTTCTTAGATAGCATAACATCAGGAAGTACAGAATCTGCCGCTTCAAGGTTGGAATTAATCACTTCTGCAGTCCATAGCGAATGTTGCATCTTTCCTGAAAGAAAAACCATACACGAGGCATGTGAGAATGAAAAGCAAATTCGCTTCTTTGGATGCTATGCTGCAATTCCGAAAGGAAAGCAAGAACAGAAAGTGAAAACCTTTATGATATGATGCCATAAGCGGAATAAGATCGCTAGTCCATATTGTCTTCTCATCAAATTCCTTCATGGTGTTTAACTTCCCTCTTTCCTCGATATGGATTGGCTAGCACAATATATTACAGAATTAACAGGAAGAAGACTGAATGTTTAAATATGCATGCCTAATGCAATTTACCACTACTGACAGTAGCAACAAGCATAAAAGAGACTTGAGGATGATACATCTTCATCTGCTATAAAAGAGAAGTATTATACACACCTGTGGTTCTTCCAGTGGATCCTTTAAAATCAGATGTGAAGACGTTGAAGCTCCATCTACTTTAACCATATGATCCCATGAACTTCTCAAATTAACAGTTTGCTGAGGACTGTAACCCATATCTTTTTTTGAGCGTGGTATATCATGGACAGTCAGTAACGGGCTCGTAGACGAAAAACGAGAATGTGTTAATGAATTTGATTCATGTGTCTGTTGGAGAAGTAAACCAGATGGAAGAGGCCATATTGATGTGACAGCATGAGGAAGAGGGATAGATACCACATCGCCTGCCAAAAGGAGCATCCAAGTTTGAACCAGTCAGAGTAAACTAAAACTCAAAACCAACTGAAATTGTACAGGACAAAGAAGATAACACATCATAAATCTATGAGGAACATAATCAATTATTTGAGTCGATTACAAAATCATTCCCCAAACACTCGATATCTTCGGGTTTGCCCCTCAAATATTATTTTAGAGCAGATAATCAATAAATTGAGAATTTACCATATTAATCCCTTTCTGACTTCTGTTAGGTAGATCACAAGACCTACAATTTTTGTTGTTTTATGTTATTTCTCTAGGAACCGACCCCCAATTTCACCGTTCCCCCAACCTACTCCTTTCTCTTTCCAACCCTGATTTAAACAGAGATTCTTCATAAGCAAACAAGTTTTCATCTTCTCCTTCAGTCAGTAATCTTCTCCATTTCCAGTCACATGCACTAAGCCTGATCCTGCTGCCACTAAACAGTTCCTCCACCCTCGCCAACCACCACCAAGCCCAAACTCACAACTAATTACCTACTATCATCGACTACACCCACAAACGCTCCACATCAACTACCATGACGGCCAAAAATAGCAAAACCAACACCATTTGTCGTGGACAATTTCCGGTTTCTTTTAACTCAGTAGATCCTAGACTTGATTGTGTTTCTGTTTTTTGGGTTCTGAATCTCCAACAACCATTTAGACTTCCCCTGATTTTGATTTCAGTTTTTGTTGGTTTGATACCGGAGGATGACTTATAATAATTATAGTGATTTTGTGTAGGCAATGTGAGTTTTCACAAAGAATAAGCCAGATTCAGGTTGTTTACCTGTCTGTGTTAACATATAAAAAGCCCAGATTTCCTTTCCAGAGTACATGTGTGGTTTTTACAAAAAAGAATCAGTCTTTTATTGATTTGTCAAACATCCAGAAGTAAAATAAATATAAGGTTTGAAGGGAAAATAATAAAGAGAAGAAAATTACGTTGAACCAGAAAGTTCTTTCTTAAAAGTAGGGATGCCGCCAAGGGGGCTGGGAAGGGGAAGGGATTGCTAAGGAGAGGGACAAGAGGATAGGTAGCTGCGTGAGGGAGATTTGGTTTACAATTTTAACTATAGTTTTTGTGTTGTGCCAGTTTACCCCTACATTATCGGCCTTTGACTGATAGAGATAATGAGAGTAAAAACTAGTCGACAGACCAAGCCTGCAGATTAACAAATAATGAGAGAAAAAGTAGCCCAGGCAGCTGTTGCAATAAAATAGTTCACCCATTAATTTGAAATTAAATGGCCACTTTTATTCAATAGTAATGTCGAAATGGCTAATGTAAAATTCTGAAAAGAATAATTAGTAGATCCAAACTACAAAAAATACAATTTTCATAGTCAATAACTAGTCAAGCTTATGCTTAAATCAATTATACTGTATAATAAAAATACAAAGGAAATAAGATGTTAATGTACATTATTTTATGCTTCATAGTAATGTTTAACTTTAATCTATCAACAGAACTTCAACAGCAAGAAATTAATAGTTCTACGCACCTGATGTGTTGTAGATGGTCAAACTATCTACTTGTAGAACACAAAGAAAAGCTTCAGACATGTCTCCCATGCGACACCAGCAGGCCTAAAAATCAACAAGCAGCGCATAAAGACATAAGCTATAAATAGCATGTAAGGATAAGCACCATAGTAAAAGCAATGCCAGGAGATCACTTGCTACATCAAAGAACAGAACACATTCAACTAATAAAACAAAAAGAAGATACCATGATAACTGGCGCCGGTAATGTGAATCTCTTGTACACTCTTGCTCCTATTGTCCATACTATCCTGTTATATTGATTGTAAGTAAACATCTTTGTGAAAAGTTTGAAACAAAGAAAAGAAATCGTAAATTAGAAAACAAAGCAAGGGGTAGTGGTGATTGATTTATAACCAACAGAACAGTAAAAAGGTTAATATATCAGGTTAATTTGTAATTCCAAACTAAGACCAAAAAGTGCAGCAAAAGGTAAATGCAAAACACCAAAAAGGGATATCATGAAAAGAAGAGTATATTTACACAATAATACCACCAAGCCCAATTTTAAATATTCTTTCTGAACCCACAAGGGACACGTAGTTTGATAGCAAAGGATACTCGACTTAGACGGCCCCATCCCCAACATTTTCCCTCTTAATGTTGCTTTCCTATCAGAGCCTTTCAATTGATAGATAATTTGCTACTCGTTTCACCTAATTAAGATTCAAGTTAATGTTCAATCAAAATACCTTCTCATGTTACTTCTCCAAATTCCCTAAGAAAATGCTATAAATATATACTCATGGAATCACTTTACTGATGAGCTTCCGAAATAGCAAGCCATAAACTCTAACGAGACCTAAGAATTCAAACAAATCACCCATAGCAGCATAGTTTTAGCATAGATTATGTAATTCAATAAATAAACATCCTATCCCCTTTTGCACTCTGAGAACTTAAACAGTGGAACATAACTCAATAACTCATCATCTGCTTTATAGGCTTGCAGTAATTTATTGAAACACAAACTTCTGCTAATAAATGCTGAATATACATATATGATTGTAACTGTACATGTACCAATCTATGTACACACACACACTATATGTTTGTGTATCTATATGTATGGATGGATGGATTTATAAAATTTTAGCAGATAGTTGGTGTAATAACAAAATACATTTCTAGGTGTGTACCTAGCTGTTGAACTTATGCGTTATGTGCAAAGACACTACAATGTAAAGATTTTATATGCTATCAGGTACCTATCTTACTGTCTATGTATAATATTAATTCATGTGAAAGAAGAAAACTTCTAGATGCTCAAGTCCCCAGTATATGGTCTACTATGAATAGTAATGAAATACAAATTCGCAGAAACATCAAACATGTAGACATTTCTGCAAGATCCAGGCATCTAACTTTGTATCACCACATTAGTGTGTATTCCTAGCTAATAAAGTAGATAACCTCCAATATGCTTAGATGTAACCCTCGCCCCAATATTTAACGGAAAAAAATATACACATCGAACCACCGCTTATCTTAATTGTTTGAATTCCTATAATTCATAATCAAGAGAAGAGCAATCTGACTTCTTGGACGATTACACTGCCGATAAGTTCCAAGTTGTACGTATGTCTAAATACATACATTTTGTGGAAGCCTCCTTTGAGTGGAATGCAATTGCAGACGATGGGTATTAAACTGCATCAATTTTTGCCGTTGTTACCCATTGTTGTTAGCCTGATAAAACTTGGTGAATTCTCACTATGATGCAACTGATTTGGTAATGAGATATTATTTTCTCCTGTTCAGGACATGGATCTATAAAATTGTGTGGCTAGGACTTAAAGCATTCTTATTCACTGTTCAACTGTGTATAAATCTTGAAGGCAGTCGGGAAAAGTTGATTTACCGATTTCCTCTGATGAAAAGCTCGTGATCGCTTCGATCACTCAAAGAAGAAGACGCTTCATTATCATCTATCTCGGCCTCGTCTCGCTGTCTGGTAACTTCTGGATCAAATAGGAAGTACTCATACTCGTCAGTGACCTCGTCGGCAGGTTTGCCGTCGAGAGCTTCAGCGATGAGACCGAAGGGCTTGAACTCTCCAAGAACGGTGAGGTGCCGAACTCCAATTGACGCCATTGCAATCAAAGCGTTCGATGAATTGCTTGAAAGAAAAGGGTGCCGGTGTGAAGTGATATGCTTCAAAACTAGATGTGTATGTTCCCGTCTCCCGCCCTTTTTTGTGTTTTCGAGTACCACCGAGCGGGTCGGGGACTTAAGCCACAAAACCCTAGTCCGAGTTCCACTCGCTTCTGGACTCTGGAGTCGGGACTCAGGACCGTTGGATTTAATGAGATCAAGAATCAAAAGTCAAAACCCATTTTTGCTGATTTTCCGGACCCGATATTTTTTATTTTATGATTTTACAAAAAATCTATACTATTTACATATTTTACATGTATTTGGTTTATTTTTGTTTCATAAATATATCAAAAATATTCACGTTATAAACTAAGTTCATTTAAAATAATACATTATAGAATAAATATATGTTAATCACTATATTAAATTAGATATAAACAAAATATATATAAAATAACATATGATACATCAGTTCCTAAAAATCTCATGATTTAAAAATTATCAAAAAAAGTCCTCATGAAAGGAACAATAAATAATCAAACCTCTTCATAAACCAATAGAAAATCATATGCGATAAATTTTATTGCCTACATGTCCATTAATTATATAAAATCATGTCATTATTTTATCTAATATTAATTTATTTTTAAATTATTTCTCCAGAGTAAATAGATGATGAGATCACAAAGGAGATCTTTGTCGTATAATTTTCCATATTATGAAGAAATCATATGGTTCTTAATTGATTCGCTTTTATGCATGTAATTAAAAATTCAGGAGACTCGCATTCAATGTTGTACTAAAAATAAGACTTAACATATAATTCTAAATATTTTTTTGGTGTAATTAATAAATATATTATTTATATCAAAAACAATTCATTACAAGATTTTTAAAGATTTGGTTTGCAATAAATAATTATAAAATTAATTTTCATGCGTATAGTTACAAACTTTATCCAACAAAACATATATATATATATATATATATATATTATTAACCTGAATATTCAATCCGTTATGTGAGCTGACTAATCACAGGACAACCACCTGCTTTGCAAATAGTCCGGAGTCACCGCATTTGAACCTCCATTGTCACAAGATGATTTTTATTCCTACTTGGATATGAACCTGGTACTTTTGACCTTTGCAGTCAAGCTCAAACCAATCAGACATCACCCTTATGGTTATCCAACAAAAATATTGAACCTTATCAGACATGGCAGGTATCTATGCGTGCCTTTTTCCAATCTTAAACTTTTTGTCCCTTGAATGCATATTTAATTCAACTTATTACAAAGCTCCACAAGTCTATGATTCGCATAAATGAAATCATTTCACATTTCACGTGTCAACTTGTAAATTCTATATCAAATAGTATACATTTTCTAAAAATACATAAAATAATATCCAACTAATTACATAATCTCCAAAAGTCAACAAAGTCATCTATGGTCAAACTCAATCCCACCTAAAGTCAAATTTGAACCCCAAGTCTCTTAGTTTGTCTTAAATATATATCCATTTGATATTATCATTAAAATCCTTGGTTCAAACAAGATGAAAGTCAAACTTGGTCGATCCAACTAACTTTAGTCAAACCCTAAGCTTAAAACTCGATGAACATATATCAGCTCTTCCTTTTTCGTTATTTCTGCACCAAAAGCTTTGGTAACATTTTTATCAATAGTTTGACATAAAGAACATAAATTTTTATTTAGAAACGAGTTTCATTTTTTCATTTGAAGTTTAGATCTTTAAAACTAAAATCCAACAATTTTAAACATCAAATTAAACCATTAATTCATAAATTCAAAATATAATTATATTGGGGTTTTATAAAGTTTTTTTAAAACGGAGCGATACCTCACATACAAAAATCATGATTTGTTTGATTTGATTGCAAATAGGCCCCTCAAGGTCATACATGTTGCTATTCTACCCTTTGACCTTTCAAAATTTATACTTTAACCCTTGTTGAAATTCATTTATCATTTTCATCAAATGGTATATTGATCCTTTTTATTTAACATTTACTTATTTATCCGATTCTATAATATCATATTTTTATATTAAAAGATCAATCCAATATGTTCGAAATTCATAATCTTCAAATACGATGTTACACATATTTAAATAGAACAAAACATTATAAATTGGCATCTATCACTCAATACATTATAATAAAATTGAGTCCATATAATTATAAAATATCTAAACATCATAATATAATATTTTGTAAAATTTAAAGTTCGTCATATTGAAAAATTAATTTGTATGATTTTTTTTTAATAAGTTATTACAACATTTATTTTTAAGATATTATAAAACTTGTTAAAACATTTTATATAAACACACTTTAAATAAAACATTTTTCTACTTATTCCTATACTGTAGAACATTCTAGACAAAATATAAAAGTAATTTTGTTGAATTATTAATTGGATCTTTTAATAAGCATTGCTTAAAAGAACTTGGTAGGATAAATAAGTGTTCAGGCAATCCCAGTGGATGAGATAGCTACCACCTACCGACTTACGGTGGAGACACGTGTCTCCCCGGAGCCTCCTGGTTCCAAGACAAAAAACACGTTTCACACCTTTTAGCCCCTCATCGTCACCATATCCCACCACATCATCATACCACGTGGCACGATGCATGCTAATTTCTATATCTCCTATACATGTATATATTCACCTCAATCGTCCTCCACTCCATTCCACATTGCATCAACACCACCAAAAATCAATCAAGCTTTACATTCACATAACTTCTTCTGGAAAATGGCATCACAACAACAATCAAAGAAACTGCATGACCAGATTTCCGAAGAGGAGAAAAGGGAACTCGACCAACGAGCGGCTCAAGGCGAGACCGTCATTCCCGGTGGTACTCGTGGCAAAAGCCTCGAGGCCCAGGAACGCCTTGCTGAAGGTATATACATACATACATATATATAATGGTTGTATGGTTCTCACGAAAACTAGATACTCATCGAATGCTTTGTATTTGTCTTGATTAATTTTAAATAATTTGATTAAAAATGGTGTTGAAGGTCGAAGCCGTGGAGGACAAACGAGAAAGGATCAGCTGGGGACTGAAGGGTACCAGGAGATGGGGAAAAAGGGTGGGCTGAGCACCACAGACCGATCCGGAGGGGAACGAGCTGCGGATGAAGGGATTCCGATAGACGAATCCAAGTACACCAGGAAGTCCGGTTGATCATCATCATCATCGATCGTCGATAATAGCTAGTGTTTGCTTGTAGTACGCTATATTTTGGTTGGTTGTACGTCTGTCTGTGTGTCTGTAATATAAGTTCAATAAACTACTGTTGACGTTTTGCTGTCTTTAATTTCAGTCATGCATGCATGCCTGGACTCTGTGATACACTCTTCTGTTATTTGCTTGTGTTTATAAAATCCTCCTTTTCTTGAACTGCCTTTCTAATCATTTGGGAGCTAATGCCGCTATGTGAAGTCGATGTAATTGACCAGATCTGTTACTTGATTTTGTCTGTGTAGGAAAATGGAGTAAATTAGAAAGCAGCAGTCTCCAACGAAGTTGGAGGTTGACAGGAAGAGAGATGCATGTATCATTAATTGAAGGTAATAATCTGGAGGGATTGTATACGAGCTTTTCTTGGAGTAAATTGATATCTTAATACAAATAAATAATTCCTTTGCCTTTCATTCTTCGAAAATCAAAAGGATGTTTTTTATAAATTGTGTGAACGTATAATTTATTGAAGTTTTTTGTTTGAATTTATGTAATTAATTACGGAGATAAACATAATAAGATAGAGGATAAATATTTTATTTTGAAATATAAAAAATCTAAAATATAATTAAGATAAATATTAAATTAATAATATTAATAAAAAAGGATTAAGAAG